TTTGGCATGCAGAATGAATTCTTGATTGTGTCTTGAATATTTTTGTTCATTGCTTGTAAAACATCTGATACAGTAATGCTATCTAATGACTTATTATAAGGACAAAAACAAATTACAAATTGCCTACAGTTCTCAAACATATTTCAATTACCTTTTAAATATTATCAAACATATTTCAATTACCTTTTAAATATTATCAAACATATTTCAATTACCTTTTAAATATTATCAAACATATTTCAATTACCTTTTAAATATTATCAAACATATTTCAATTACCTTTTAATAATTATCAAACATATTTCAATTACCTTTTAAATATTATCAAACATATTTCAATTACCTTTTAAATATTATCAAACATATTTCAATTACCTTTTAAATATTATCAAACATATTTCAATTACCTTTTAAATATTATCAAACATATTTCAATTACCTTTTAAATATTACCGGTATAGCTGTGCAATGACCCAGACATGCACCTCAAATTGTTTTACTTTCACTTGTGATCTATGTTTTTTCTTTTCTGTGTCTTATGTTGAGACAATGTTGAAAAAACTTAATGGGGACTGTGTCATCTTTAATGAATTTTTTTCTTCTATCAGGGGTGGCTTAGCAGAGCAACTACAAAAGATTGTGTCTCGAGAAAAATCATCGATGACGTTCTGGTCACATCAGAATTCAAGTGCCAAGAAGGGAGAAAAAGGAGGTATATATATCATAATATTGACTGGCTAAATTACAATGTGAGGACAAAGAAGACATTTTTTACCACTGATGTTGAACTATTCTCAGCAGTACGACATTCAAAAATCGTTGCAATGCTGCAGTGTTTTCACCATGAACATCGTCCAATACTTACTGTACACATCATCTTGTATACACCAAGTCTGTTCAGTGGAGAATTTCGAAATTAAGCTGAAACGCTTTGTGTAACCCCTAGTAAGGTTGCGCCTGTGGTGCGAGATTGGTGAGCAGATCTCCCCCCCCCCAAATGCAAAAATTTCGTGTCGCTGCCTCTATGGTGGAAATATCTTCTCTGGATGCAATTCTCTAAACAGAGCTTTTTATATTTGAGATACTGAGAATGTTGACTTACCTCATATGCTGAACATCATTTATTGCTTTGTATACTATTAGAAGTATGTGTGAGTAAATGTCCTGTCTATTGTTATAATGGTATGCTTCTAGACAGCCTCAGTAAAAGTTCATTTATTCATTGTGCTTTTATTGAAGATATCCTAATAGAGCAGTACTTTGTGGCAGTGTTTTATCAGAGGTATCCTAATAGAGCAGTACTTTGTGGCAGTGTTTTATCAGAGGTATCCTAATAGAGCAGTACTTTGTGGCAGTGTTTTATCAGAGGGGTGGTGAAATCATATTACAAGAATGATACCATAGTTCTCTCCCAACAGATGATACATCATCAGCTCTAACTGTTAGAGTACTACAGATCTCTACAGAGTATGGTCTACATGTCACACAATGTGAGGTATTGTCAGATACCGCTAGTCAGCAAAGTGGAATGTCGTTTGTAACAGTACTATTCACTCATAGTTTGAGTCAACAACTCACATTGAATGTTGGATTAATTATTAAGATTTACCCTCCTTGGTGAGTAGTAGTCAATCCTGCTTTAGATTCCCAGTACTTTTCACTTCAGGTTCTGGGTCAACATCAGGAAGTCTGTCATTTTCTTAGTGTGCTTTCTTCATGTAATGTTTTTTGGCTGACATCTTCATGTCACAGATAAAATCATGGTATCTAAACACTTTTATTATAAGAGTTTTTTCGTGATAGAATATGTTTTTTCAAAGATTAATAAGAAGAGGATATGCAAGGGATGTGTGATACTAGTATTTGATAATTATCACATACAAATTGAAGAAGTCATGGGGAAAGCTACTATTCTAGAAATCCTAATGTCGACCATTTTTTATAATGTCCTTGTAATATGTGTGTTGAATCTAGTGATAATCTCCCTTATTTTTGTTTCCGCAATCATACCTTTCAAAACACCCACTATGGTCTGTGACATTCGGTTGGTAAGAATTCAATTGACGTTCACGAAATGCAACTGCTATCAAATGTTCATAAAACGTGAGAGTTTTCTTCTAATTGTGAGACTTTCACCCTGTACATGGTTATGAAAGTTGCATATCCTTATCTTATGAATCCTTAGTTTTATGTATTTGTACGTTGTAGGGGTATTGTAATGTCATCTAGTGTGTCTGTTCTTGTATTTATTACATTGAAGTCTGTTATTGGGTCTTCAATCCGTTGACTCATAAATTAAATTGTTTTTTCATAACAGGCAGAAGCTTGTTATTACACATCGTAGAGAACCAGTTATCTTATGCACATACTATTGTCAAGCAATCAACACACTTGAAGACAGCGATATGACTTCCCAGCAAATACTGTCTTTAAACACAGATGTGGAGCACACTTCATTGTCCATTATTTCACCAAAAAAAGTATGTTGTTTTATATTTGCTTTTTCGTTCACACATTTCTCAGTAAATTATATGCCTTCTCACAGAACAAGAAACATTTACAATGTTAAATAATTAAATATGTAGTCATCCTGTCTGAGAAAATATAAATGTTAAACTCTACAGAGAAGAGATTAGAAAATGGTGTTCATTTAGAGATGTTTCCAGTTTACACAGGGTTCAGTTTAGACAACATCTACAATGTTGAATAATTAAATATTTAGTCAACCAGTCTAGGAAAATACATATGTTAAACTCTACGGAGAAGAGACTAGAAAATGGTTTTCAGTTTAAAGAGGTTACCAGTTTACACAGGGTTCAGTTTAGACAAGTTTTCTGTTTACACAGTGTTCAATTTAGACAAGTTTCCCATTTACACAGTGTTCAGTTTAAACAGGTTTCCAGTTTACACAGGATTCAGTTTAGAGTGAACCAAGTGAGTATTGGTCACCAAATCCAGGAGGAGAATAACGCACTGGAGAGAAGCACTTGTAATTGAGATGTTTATTATTCAACTGCTAGGCCTGGAACTGAGCCCAAGTCCTCAAAAGATGTTCCATACGTACAATGTATCAATATCAATATGCAAATGACTAAACTTGTGTCACAGCCTCAGATCATCACACAGAGCTCAGTTTAAACAAATATGCTATTTACATAAAGTTTATTTGAGTTTAATTGATCCAGAGATTGTTCACTGCATCTCAGCTTTGCTAATGTTTCAGAAGTTAAAACCGTCCAGACTATTTGGTAGGATATCTTCTTCACCAGATGTGATAGAGACAACTATTATACCATTGAGCTCCAAGAAAGTGATAAGTGACTCCTTCATAGATAGTATAGAAGAGTGTAGTGAGCACAATGATAGCGGACTATGTGTTAGAGCCACTGTACAGCGGATATACTGTAAACAAATACCACAAAGTAATGCTGGGTGAGTCACCAATTTATGTATATAAGCTGTGAACATTTTATGGAAATTTATGAAACATTTACCCTGGAAGTTCCTCACATTAAATTCAAATCTGGGAAAGAATTTTTGTTTCCTAGACAAATTCTTTGGTATCATTCCTTAACCATTAGTCTCTCTGTATTTCCCTCAATCATGGTTTACACAGAACATTGATCCCATTTTTTTATTTTTCAAATTTACAATTGTTTGCTGATATACATTTTAAATTGTACAAGTAGTATCTTACTATGAATTTGGCCCTTCACTTTAAATTATTCAACATACTGTGAAATTCTTTATTTTAGCTGGATTTAATTTTCGCTGAAAAGGCTTTTTGGACGTTTTATATGGAATTTATTTTCACTGATTTCTGATGAGTTGAATGTGAAATATAGGAAAAAAAGTATATTCGCTGGATTTTATTTTCACGGAATCATTCCTTCAGCGAAAATATCGAAAATAAATTCCAAGTGAAAGTAAAGTAATCTACAGTATAGTACGGTATTAATTTTCAGGTAATAGGGTAATTGTCATGGTGTGTCAAAGGACACATTAACTATTGTGAAATTCTGTAGTTATTCAAAGATTGTAAAATGTTTAAAAAAAAAAAAAATGTTTATAAATATTTTATACAAAAACATTCACAGCTTTCTGAATCATAGTTTATTTCATTACATTACATGTTTCATAAATTAAATTAACAATATACATTTTTGCCTAAAATGATTTTCACCAAATAGTCCATATACAAGCCCTTGGATACATAGTTTTCTTTTTGTGTTAACATTGGTATTAACTATATTGTAATATGGCATTCATTACTGCTTATTTTGAATTGATTAACCACAAAAATTTTATTAACCTGAAAATTGATAAACTTTGTTAACTGCCCAGGACCTAAAATTGTTCAACTTCCTTACAGTTATTACAAAAGAACTTTGAAGGGAACATTGTTCTGTTCTTTTTAAAAAAACACTAAGTCTACAAGTTGTCTACAATTTTGCAAAACTGATAACAATTGGAGCAATGTTTATAATTTCACTAGTAAAGTTAGAGACCAATTACAGAACATTATGATTATTTGAGATGACATTTTCAATCAAAGTTTTGTTGCAACAACTAAGCTGCTCACTATCAAAAATGAAAGACGTATGTATGTATAGTATATTCGACTTGGATATTACGATACCTAGTGAAGATGTTTTGTTCATACCTACTTTTGTTTCTTTAGACTGTCTAGGCAAGTAAGACATCCCTCACATCGATATCAGTGGGTTTTATTACTACAAGACAAACACAATGCATTCTGTGAATTACTACTGCCATGTCATTGCACTGAGAACCCAACATGGATGGATTGTATAAAATATGGACAAGGTAAAGTGTTCACTTTCTCTGGAATACGAGTAGTACAGAGAACCAACAGAACAAAGTAAGTTGTGTCATTTTTGTCACCATTAATTTTTAAAAGCACTTGCTGTTTGTAAATACTGCACACCTTGAACATTTTGCTAACAATATTCTCTCTTTGAGACTACAGTACAGCTTTTACCCAGCATGCCACATTCACATAATACTTATAAAATGTTGTAAGGGAATTACATCACACTGGAAAATATACCATATTTGTTTTATTTAAAAGAACATTTCAATGAGACATAAGCTGAAAAACTTCTGTATTAGCAGTCACTAAATCATACCGTCATCATACATAATCAGTTTTGTAAACTGTTTCGACTACAGATTGAACCTGTCCAGTGTATTATGTAGTAGAGCCAATACCATTATCATATCCTGCCAGCCTCATGTACTTTGTTTGTTTACAATGAATAGACCAGATAAGAGTTAAAACTTAGTATTTTATTAGTCCCCGTTTGGACGAAGTCCGAAAACGGGGACTTACAATTCGGTCTCCGTGCGTCGGTGATTCTGTGCGTCCGTCCGGAGTCATATCTCAGAATCCCTTGGACCTATTCCATTCATTCTTTGCATGTGCCTAGTACTTTATGTGGGACATATGCACATGCAGTGGTTTACCGATTCGATTCAAAATGGCCGACTGGCAGCCATCTGGTTTTTTGATAATGTTTTCATTCAAACTTAGTACATAGATTATACATGTTAGGATACATGTCCATGACGATTTATTTCACAATTGGATCAAAGATGGCCGACTGGCAGGCATCTTGTTTTTTTTATATGTGGTATCTTGGACATGCTCTGTCAGTTTTCATTCAAATTTGGCACATACATGTACTTTATACATGTTAGGATGCATGTCCATGACAATTTGTTTCAAAATCTGGTCAAGGATGGCCGATTGACAGCCATCTGATTTTTTGGCCTTACTACTATACATGTATTTCCACAATTTATGTACCATTTTTATTCGTATTTGGCAAATACATCATACATATCAGTGTGTTTCATAATCAGATCAAAAATGGTCGAATAACAGCTGTTTTTAGTTTTGGCCATATTACTACTACACGTAACACATGTTTTGATGTAAATAAACAATCTGTTGTATACGCCACTTGGAACTCAAGTTTCAAGGACACGCTCGCGACAATCCCTCCATTTTAATACGACGAGCACAAAAAATACTTTCAAAAATTTAACGGGGACTGTGTCATTTTCAATGACTTGTTTAACATATTTTATGTTTCTTTCATTATCTATGTCTATGCAATTTAAATTTCAGGTCTCCTGGTCTTTTTTCATTGATTGATTCTCTATGGTCATCGGAACACAGGCAGCTTGTGACTGACCAGAGTTCCTTATCCCAGGTCAGTTCAAGTATTTTGTTCTCAACAGAAAAAGTAAGATTTCTAATTCTACCAATACTTTACTTTGCTGTTACATGAAGCCTATCAATGAGACTTAATTCTGCTGTTCATCTGAAACATAGCTTGGTTAGGGGTTTTAATACATGTAGTTTGAGATCATTCATATAAATTTACTGGGGTGTTGGGACTGTTATGTGCCATATCTGATATTCTCTGAATTTTAGCACATTGTTGAGGGAAAAACGATTCAGCAAAGGAAATGTGAATGCACAACTGTGTGGATGCCAAAACGATTACCAGCATTGACACACTGAAAACAGTGAAATTTAAACATTTATATATTTCCCATATTTCATGCAAACTCAGTCCTTCAAATATTTCACATAAGTTCTATAAATGCTATCTGAAAACAATTTTAACATGCATTACAAGAACTAGACTGTCTGACACAAATCTCCCTAACATCACATATTTTGACAGAATGTACTCAGATCTAGGGAAGAGTAAGAAATCAAACAGGTGGTGTGTAATCCATGTTTACAGTTATAAAATTTTAGTCAAGTGTCCATAGAAATGCTTATGTGCACTTTCGAAGGCAAAATAGTACCAATTCTCATGTATGGGGCAGAAATAATAATGATAATGCTAAAGATGCTGAAGGTGTATTCACAAGTTCTGTAAATATGTAATTAAACTCCCATGTAATGTATGTAACCTAGCAACTAGAGTTGAACATAGACAGTGCACAATGAAATCTTGACACTGCTTTTTAAATATTGGATTCGCATCCTAAAAAAAAATATTGTGAACTTATGAACTGTACACGTCCATTTGATGCGTTACTTTTGTAATAATTTTATAAATATAATTAAAAATAATATATGTAGTAATACCCCTCTCCTCACTAAATATACTGGTACTATGAATATTGTTGATATTGTGAATTGCTTTTAATAAACACCCACACACAGACAAAACATAGACGCATTTAAAATCAGAAAATAATTAAGTAATTAAATAATTAATTAAGTCAAATAGCGGAATTTCATTGGTGGGAGACAATTTTTTACATAAATACTTAAATATTTTGATGGAGATTTTATTCAAAATATTTGTCATGTAAATGTAATTCCTACCATCTGAAATGTTACATTTTACTATAACCTAATTATACTCTGGGCAGTACACTTCTGAGTCTAAAATACTGTAAAATGGTTAATTTTCATTGTGTTTAAATTTCACTGATTTAGCATTTCAGGGATATTCAGTGGGTTTTAAATTCACGGCTTTGCCATTTAGACAATGTGTTCTATGCTTAATTTCACATATTCAATGGATTTTAATTTAGCGCATTTCCCAGTCAGCGGAATGAGCGAAAATAAAACCCAGTGAATAATTAACCCTTTTACAGTAACTGCTTTGTATTACAGGACAGCAGCCATCATGTGGTGCCTAGTTTTTGTTATATTATCACTACAACAGGCTGTGATAACACAATAGAGAGCAGAGATGAGGTATCATTGTTATATAAATCACCAAAGATATATACACTCAAAGAAATACAAATGGTAAGTGAGTAAAAATATTTCTCTATTAAAAGCACATACAATTATTAACATTTTGTACATATTCATTACATTAAATGTTTCATGTTTTGCACATATTTATTACATTAAATGTCACATTTTTTTGTACATATTCATTACATTAAATGTCACATGTTTTGTACATATTCATTACATTAAATGTCATATGTTTTGTACATATTCATTACATTAAATGTCACATGTTTTGCACATATTCATTACATTAAATGTCACATGTTTTGTACATATTCATTACATTAAATGTCACATGTTTTGCACATATTACATTAAATGTCACATGTTTTGCACATATTACATTAAATGTCACATGTTTTGCACACATTCATTACATTAAATGTCACATGTTTTGCAAATATTCATTACATTATATGCCACATGTTTTGTACATATTCATTACTTTAAATGCCACATGTTTTGCACATATTCAATACATAAAATGTTACATGTTTTGTACATATTCATTACATTAAATGTCACATGTTTTGTACATATTCATTACATTAAATGTCATATGTTTTGTACATATTCATTACATTAAATGTCACATGTTTTGTACATATTCATTACATTAAATGTCACATGTTTTGCACATATTC